TTTGGACCGCAGTCTCCAATTTTACCGATGAAGAGATGGCACGACTGTTGCAGTTCACGACCGGGTGCTCACAACTGCCTCCGGGAGGGTTCGCGGAACTGAATCCCAAATTCCACATCACATCTGCCCCCACATTCGGAGTGTTGCCGACCGCTCACACGTGTTTCAATCAGATATGTTTACCCGAATACGACTCTTATGAACAGTTTGAGAGAGCTCTACGACTGGCCATCAATGAGGGCTCAGAAGGCTTTGGTATGATTTGAGAGCAAACCATACAATCATTCCGTAATCTAGTCGTAAAACAATGGCTTAATTTTTTGCCTTTTATATCAAAACTAAAGACAATTTAAACGAAACATTTTTTACTCGAATACGTGATTACTTTCAAGTGATTTCATTTCTCTCGTCATTTTACTCATTCAAAACTTAAACTTAAATTATAATATATTTTTAATTAAATGTATATTTTGAGTGCCTTTTGGAATATAATTTATAATCAAATTAATAAATTACAAAATATATTTCAATACGAATTTTTTATTTAAAAATTTATTCATTTTTCAATCAAACAAAAGAATATAAAGCAAAAAAAATTAAATATTAATTCAATAAAAAATTTCAAAAAAAAATCTAAAAAAAGAAGGAAAACCTATAATCAAAACACTGATCGGCAGGAAAAACAAAAAGCATTTGTTTCGCACAAAAAAAACGATTCAAATAATGATCATTTAATGATAAATATTTCCCTTTCAATGACTTAATGAATGATTTGTGAACTCTTCAAAAAACTTATGTATTTTGAATGAATTACTTATTTGCGATTTAAATAACTATTTATAACGATATCGGACCCAATCTGTCGAAGATATTCTTCCGCAGAGAAATTGTCCTCTTTTTATTGAGCGCATCGTTAGCCCTCTTCATCGCAATCCTCTTGGCCTGCGTTACGGCCGTCGACGCCGTCGGCACCCGATTGGTGGCCACAGAAGCGGCCGTTCGGTTGACAATCATTCGGTTTGATGGAGAACTCGATGACAATCGACCCGTTATTCCTATTCTATTCTTAACGCCAATTGTTTCTATAATTATTGATAAAATGTTTATTAATTAATGTGAAAATGAGATGATATATGGCTTTCAATACCAGTTTGAGTGCTTCTCAAAGCGTTTGGCGCAACGATTGGTTTTTTAGGCAATTGTGTAATCCTTTCATTTAATTTAATTATGTTTTTATTATTAAGAGTTGTGTTAATACTGCTCCCACTTATGGTCACCCGTCGGATGGGATTCATTGAATCCATTCCCGAAGAGTTTCCCAAACGCGCAAAAATGGTTGAATTCTTGTCACTAGTCTTAGTCTCAGCGCCTAAACGAGAAAAAACAGATGATTTGGATTTGACCGCAGAAGAGGAC